TATATATAATGACCATACTATATTGTTTAACATGTGTTAATTAGAGATTATTTGATTGAAATTTGAAACTTAGGGAAATTAATTAGGTTATGTAATTAATTTCCGTTTCTATTGTGTTAATGATTTAATCATGTGTTTGACATTGATTGTATATCTAAATCATGATTTTTGACTTGTAATAGATACTTCAGATTATGTTTCCAATATTGAATTATATTGTTATAGCGTGTAACGAATCGCACACTGAAGATTCGACATGTGATGTTATTATAGCGTGTAACGAATCGCACTCTGAAGATTCGACATTGTCATCCTATAGTAGTTGAGGATTTAGAGCATGTATTATGTGGTTTCAACCTACTTGTGTATGAAGGTAGTTTTGTGTACTATTTAGTACGTATATAAGTTGTTAACTTATTTATTTTGGAGTTACTTGGGACATTGTCACTGTGATATGGCTAGGGTTTGGTTCTAGTGCGGGAGATATGAGTTCTCCCCATTGAGATAGTGCACATTAGGGTGGTCTTCCCAGCGGGTTAATGCCTGGAATAACCATTTACGTCTTGGTACTCCGAGATTTGATGTCCAAGTATTCCACTATTTGATTTCGCATTCAATTCCAAGTTGACAACCAATGTTTAATAGTGACTTGTGGTTTTGGTTATTGGCGATTTAATGTTGTTAAGTACATTTATGCATTATGATTTTGAATGAATCATAACATATCTTTAATATTCTTAAGTACATTCATGTTTTATGATTTCAAATGAATCATTGCAGGTTTTGATGTTGTTAAGTACATCTATGCTATATTGTTTAAATGTGACTTAGGAATGATCCTATAGATTCATTTGGAACATAGAAGTTAGGTGGCATGACCTACTTTTGTCGTTTTCGTATTTTAGATTTCAAGTTGATGACTTTGAGAGTCTGTATCTTGTTACTTTGGATAGCATGCTTCTATGTGGTTTGAATTGCATGGGTGATGTGATTAATGCTAGAAATGATCTAGGGTAGCTTAGGATGCTCCCTGAGTCTCATCCTTAACAAAGACGTTAGGTGGCATGAGCCCTTTAACATATTTCACCTTAAGGTGATAAAATTGTAAACTGCTAGATCGATGCATGCTCATTTCTTACGAGTAGGTTTATGTTATTCGCCCACGTAGTGGGAACATTTTTCAGGTACAGGAATCAAGGTTAGAGGTTCTCATTATGCTTGGATGATTTGAGGACTTGAAGGGTTCAATTCTTGTGAAGGTTGGCTTGAAAAGCCATTTGTAACCTTATATGTTAAATGTGTATATTTAGTTCTAAACTTGTAATGTGTGCCAAAGCACACTTTTTGAATTTCATTTTATGCGTATGACATGAGGCCAAGGACCAAACTTCTTTTGGAATTGCGTATATGTCATGGATGTTAAATCTTGCCTTTAATAAGAATATATGAAAAATCATGCGTTTTAGTATACTATTTTGCACCAGAGGATGCATTGTGTATAAAATTCATCCATTAGCATTCATTTATCATTTATGAGGTGTGACCAAAGGCCAAACGGTATTTCGAAACCATTTTATAATTTTGAGTTCAAGTTTTCATTCCAAACTTCATTTTTGTCATTTTGGCCGTCGGGGGGTCGTATTTTGCATCGGCGATATTTTTAAGTCGTGGACCATTATACATGTCCTATTAGGTAAGTTACGTTTGTATGCATGATCGTTTTCATGAAAAACTTCTTCTTTGGTGAAATGAGCTTCTTATGGACTCATTTCACATCTTTATTGCATAATCTGGTCCAGGGGCATTTTGAAGTTTTTTGTCGGTAAATAAATTCCGGTTTTGACATGGTCACTTAGAAAACGTGATTTTAGGGTGTGTTTTTTTTCATGTTTTTCCAGAAAATGTCATCTTGGTACCGGAAATCCATCGTAAAATTCAACTTTCTGTTTTTCATTTAGCAGCTTTTTGGACCATCATGACCTGATTTCATGTAGGGGCATTTTGGGCATTTACATTAAGGTTTTTCGAATTCTTTTACATTTCCACGCAGAAAACTCAATTTTGAGGGGGGGTTTTCTTCGTTGTGTTTTTCCAAAAAATGTAATCTAGGGCCTCAAAAAGCCATTTTTTCCTGAAAAACCCCTACTGCCAGGTTTTTGCTGAGCTGTAGCACAAGTGTACAAACGGTAGATTCCTCATAATAGGTTAGATATGCTTGGGCAATGTAGTGGTCGTGATTTTTTGCCTCCTAACCGGTTAGAAAGGTCTCCTAACCTGTTAGATGTTCTTGGGTTGGCTCTTTTTGACCTTTTTGCCCTTTCTTCTTTCGTTAGCCATATATTTTTCATCCGGATTCCGAATCAAGTGATTCTTGAGTCTAAGTTCATTAATTTTTCATTGTCTTTCAAATGGTATACTTGGTAGCACCCACTCTCATGTTAGAAATGACCATTTTACCCCTAGGTTCATTCTTATCCGTTTTTGAAACACCGCTTCCGCATTTGTTCCTTTGGGTTCCGTAACCTCATTGAGTGTCACATTGGTGTCTTAGAGACACGTTGTATCTCTAAAGACCATTGTTTCACATTTTGCTTCCGCATTCTGTTTCCAGTTTGGGTCATCACAGAACACACTGGGTTAAAAAATCCAGGGTCGTCACAGGTGGTATCAGAGCATCCGAGTTTGAATACCTTGGACGACGGGCTTTGGGTGCATATCATGCTTTTGTTGATGTACTTTGATATGTTCACATGCTTTTTGATAACATGTTTACGTGCCTTTTGATAACATGCTCTGTGTGATAACATGTTTTCTGCACTTATATGCTTAAGTGTTTAAAAGCATCCTAGTTTGATACGTGCTTATGTGTTTAAGTACCTAAGAGTTTTCATTATCTATTTCACATGTTGTATATGCTTATCTGCTTATGCATGACTGTATGTTGCATACATTAATGTGCTAATTATTTGATGCATTCGTTGAGCGAGTTGCATTCGATCATAATAACTCATGTTATTAATGATATCGTTTCTTTTTCACGCATATAGCGTCACAGTCTTGACTCATGGAGAGTCTTCTTGTTAGGGCTCAGGTGAGCGTAAAGTTGTAGTATCCGTCTGGCGAGATGAGACGTAGGCCACGAAGGCATCGTTTCATCTCATTTTCTTTTGTCTTTTCGTGATGTAGTCATAGTGGTGTTAGAGGTGTCAGTGTCATCTCTTAAGACTTCATGGTGGTCTTGACGTCATTAATGTCATTAAGGTCTTCATTTCTAACGTCATGGGACGATGAGTCAGGGCTGACTTGAGTCCTTCTTTGGGGAGTTAGGAGTTACCTTGTGAGCCTCAAGGTGAGGTTCTCGTGTCTTGCCTCCTTAGAGCAAGGGTTTTGGGATTTGGATAGGTGTGTTGACCTGGGATCTTCTTATGTTGCCTTGGTTAGCCCTTACGAGTTACGGTTGGGATGTAAGCGGTTTCGTGTAATTAATTGCGCTGGTATAATTAATTACTCTCCCTTGTCATTGGAGACTTAGGGCATTATGTTAAGGTTCTGGTAGAATCCTGTAGAGTTTCCATCGAACTCGTTGTCTTCTTGGTTTGGAGGACGATTCCTTTCCTCGTAGTTAGAGATTGGACTCATCCAGGTTCGGTTTTACGTTTTCTGCGTGGTGTCTTTTGAGAGGCATTCCATTCATTTCTTTTGATTTTACGAACTTGCCATTTGTATGATCACTTTTACATGTTTATGAGCCCCATTGTTTTCGGGCATGCCTTAGAAACATGTTCAGGATGTATGACTATATGGTAGTTATATGAGGATGTATATGATGCGTTCGCTTATACTGTATCTGTTTAACATGCTAGTGCCATTAGTGGTGTATAGCGTGTCATCATTGTTTTACCCCTATATGATAGGTGGTTTATTTGGTTTACCTTATGTGTACTGTGTGTTTAGTACTATGATATTATTTGATTTATGTCGTTAAATTTTTGTAAGCATGCACTATGTGAGTATTTGGTTTATACTGTTTTATTTTTCCTGCACTTATGTTGGGGTCTTGTGACCTTGGTTTTCGGGATTGTCATGAGTGAGCTATGTAGTAGACTTGTGTTTTGAGATTCTAGTTGTCCACTATAGGGATTTTGACCCAGCGTTTTGTCTTCTGTGATGCGACCAAGCGTGTGCACAAAATAATGCACAACACTTTAGGTTTAGAATTAATGTCAAGTGGGCATTATATTTTATAATTTATAAACCGCTAGACACTTATACTATGTAGTATGAAGTAAGAAGGGATCGAACCCAAGAGACTTTTGGCTTGGATTAAATAAGACAATTGGTTTTAACAAGTGATTACCATCAGAGAGAGAAAATAAAGAGATGGTTGGTTGATTAAGCTAGTGAACAATTAAATTAAAATGCAATGAAAATAAACTAAATTAGAGTTAAGGGTTTAAGAGATAGAAGAGAATTCATAGGGTTTATTGGAATCACCACTAAGCTCATGCAATTAACCACTTCTTTTTCATTAATCGGGAGAACATTATTGCAACCTAGATGTAGCTTCAATCACTAAACAACTTGCAATCAAGTATACATGAATTATCAAATGTAAGTATGAATTGTCTACTTAATGACATGTAAACTAGGGTGTAGAACAACCCATCAAGCTTAAGCATACTCCATCAAACTAACCACAATTGCATCTAATGAGAACATACATTAATCAAGAGGATAATGGAATTTGCATGTAATAGGTGTGGATTATCAATTCAAGCAATGACTTGTCTACCTACTGACAAGTAAACTAATTTGTAGTACAACACATCAAGATAAAGTATAACCCATCAAATTAATTAGCAATCCCATCCAATAAAACCCATGCCATAGCCATCACTAAACCCAAATAACAATGGAATCTAGTATTGAGTATAATCCTGTAATCACACATAAACATGTAATTACATAGAGAATTAATGAAAGAATTAATGTTTAACATCTAATCAAAAGCATAACCCTAGATTAATTATATATAGACATATAGTTAACATATAGAGTTAATCGAAGAATTAAACCAACACAAGCCATGATTTGTCAAATCTAGCATGCAAATAAGAATCACAAAGTCATAACATCAAATACAACAATATATTAATCTCCCTAAAAATAGAAATATAAGGGTTTAAAAATACATAAACTTAGGGTTTAACTAAGCCCTAAGTGGAGATCTAGCCCATCATGGTTGTGGTGGTCAAGGTGTCAACAAGATCCTCCTCCATGCTTTGCTCCTTCTTCTTCTTCCTTGAAGCTCTAGAGAGATGAGTGTGTAGATGTTCTTCCTAAACCTTATGCCTCCACTCTTCCCTCTCTTCTAACCCTCGCCTCTTTCACCAGAGAGAACGTGATATTTTTTTCCGTAAAATCCAACTTATCATTATAAAATAAAACTCTTTTAATTAAAATAACAACTAATCATAAACTAATGATTCATTGGGCCTTAAGTAACAAATCTTATTAAAGCCTATAAGTTACAAAAATAAGCTCAAAAAACAAAATCTCATAACCAAGTAAACATCAATCCCGCAATGCTGCCAGGTGTTGGGGGATCGATCCCTCAGCCTTGGCGATCGATCCCCCAAGGGTATTTTTAGTTCTGTGAATAGTAGGGGATCAATCCCCTAGAGTTAGAAATTTCCTTTAAGCCTTATTTAGTTCCATTTTGGCCCCGGGCTAATTGATTTGCTTATTTATCTTTGGAAACATCATTAAAGGCCCAAAATTGACCGTTTTTGAAGAATAAACACACTATACGAGCAATAGGCTGTGACATCTTTTTGCTATTTTCTGAACTTTTTCTGAATGTCTTTGCTTGACTCCAAAAAGGCTTTAGTGAACCAAAATTAGTTTGTTTGAACCTTATTTAACCTGAAATTGACAAAAATATAAATTAGAACTTAAACATGAAAATAAGATATATGCAAGGACTAAAATACCCTAATTTAGGTGCTGAAATGTGCAACATTTAAGCACTTATCACTCCCCTAAACTTAGATATTGCTAGTCCCTAGCAATGAACTATAGTATGAAAATAAAATAAATATATATACAACTATGAACTAATAAAGCAAATAAAGATAACACCATTTTCGTAGGGATCACGGTTACATTTAGCATATACAATAAGCCTTTTAAACCCTTAAGTTACCCATAGTGGACGAATGAAGTCTTGTGAGGGTTTCTAAAAATGGTACCCACAAACATTAACAGCTCTTTCTTACTTGAGAAGTAACGACACATATCAAACAAGTGTTGGAAGTAGACTACTTCAAGTATGCAAATTTCTGTCATTTGTAAGCTATTCTCAACATTTCAATATCATGTAAGTAAAAATGGTCATCTACACATCAAGCAAGTTAATCATGCAAATTGAATCAATTCTATCATCTTTTTTGAGTGAACCGACATCAAAATGTGTTGCTATCCTAGCAAATCAAAGTAATGGCATAGCCTTACTCTCAAACTAGCATACATATATAGTACCAGACATCAAGACATTGAATTAACCTTGTTATTCAATCAAACATTCTTTTTTTATTGATTTTATTTTTTTATGTATGACCATGTGCAATGTCCAAATTCCTTAAACTCTCTAATCACCCTATGTAACAAGCGTTGAGCCAACAACTCCCAAACTAGATGGTCTTAGGGCGTTAAGTGTAAAGACACTCCTAAGGGCGTAATGACTCGGAATGGCTAGGCTACGAACTCTAATTAATTATAAATCTTACATTCTTTCCTTGTCTTCCTTTTTAATCAGTTGACATGTTAAAATAATGCAGTTTTTTTTTAATTTTTTTTAAAATTTTTTTTTGTGAGTGCTTTTATTTCTTTTCTTTGCAAGGTCATTTTATAAAAAAAATGAAAGCTTTCAAAGCATACTAACTCAATTGGAATAAACCAAGACAATAATCAACTAAGCATGTACCCCACAAATTAAATGCTAGTGTGCTCAAGTGCAAGTGTAGAACAAGAGCAAACATAATATCAAAAATTAAAAATTTATCCCTAAATGACATCCTAGAGCATACAAGAAGTATTAGACTCTAACAACTTGCTTTTCAAAGACACTATGTTTCAAAAATTCGAAATCATTGCCAAACACATCTCAAATCTCATCATGCATTTAAAACTCAACTTAAAATAGAATGAATCATAACGATCAACCTTACCCCCAAACTTAAACTGTACATTGTCCTCAATATGCAATGAGAATAATGAAAAATAATAGAAAGAGTATACCGTGATGGCAAAGACGATTAAGTCCGGCAATAATCTAGTAGGAAAGATGTCTTCCCCAAACTTGGATGCAAAAACCTATCTGTATAACCATACTAGCAAACTCACATCAAATATAACATGGAATAAGCAATACATACAGTCCAAAACAATAGATAACACGATGCAAAGAGATAAGCAATGAAACCCTTCATAAAAGATTAAAACATGCATATCCAAGTATAAGAGCATACCGGTAACTTATATTTTTTATTTATTATTATTATTATTATTATTATTATTTTTGTTTTTTAAAAAAACTAAAGAAAAAGAACATGTATATATATCTTACAAAATAAAAAAAATAAAAAAAAATAGGCTAAGTTTAACGTCCCTGTCAAGACGGAATGTTACTAGGAATTTTTTTTTTTATTTAAAATAATTAATTCATTTTTTTTTTAAAATTATCAATGCAATTGTTTTTAACAACAATTCAACTGTTTTTTTTTTTTTTTTAAATCAACAATTCAATATTTTTATTATTTAAAATTTTTTTTTGTTATGTATTTTTTTATTTAATTATTATTATTATTTTTTTGTTATGTATTTTTCTTTTTATTATTTACTTATTTATTTATTATTTTTTTTTGCTATGTATTTTTCTTTTTATTATTTAATTTAATTTAATTTAATATTTTTTTATGTACAAGCAAGAGAGAACGGCGAAGCCAAAATCGCCGGCGAAAAGCGATCCACAAGCTCGCCGGAAGGAACCCAGTAAGAACTAGCCGAAATCGCTGGAAAACAGCGACCCAGCCGCGACGCCGCAAAGACCCAGCCTTGATCGCTGGAGAAAAGTAGCGACCAAGCCGAAATCGCCGGAAAACCCAACTGATCGCGGCTGGAGAAGAAGCAGCCGCGATCGCCGGAGAAGAAGCCAGCCGCGACGCCGGAAAATGACCCAGATGCGACGCCGAAAGACAACCCAGATGCGACGCCAAAATCACCGGAAAGAAACCAGCCGGAATTGCTGGAGAACGAACCCAAAAAACGACGGTGCTGCTGTTTTTTTTAATTTTATTTTTTTATTTCTTTGTTCAGACCTACAACCCGAAATAATTACCTTCGAGTAGAAGAACGGTGAACCACAAAATCGCTGGAGAAGAACCCAGTCCAAATCGCCGGGAAGAGAGCCGCGATCGCTGGAGAAGAACCAGCCAAAATCCAGCCAAAATCGCTGGAGAAAACAGCCAGTCGCCGTTTGAAGTACCAGCCGCAACGCCGGAGAAGATGAACAGCCGCGATCCGGAAAAGAACCCAACTGCAATCGCTGGAGAGAACCCAGCCTAAATATCGCCGAAAAAAAAAAATAGCGATTCACAAGCTCGCCGGAAGAGAACCCAGAACCCAGGAAAAAAAAAAAAAAAAAAATAGCTAGAAATAAAGAACTCGGTGACTGTAAGTTGCGCTTGAAATGTTAGAGACGGTGGCCTGAGGTTGGGGTGGGTTTGATTCGGCCGGAGCTGGTGATGGTAGTGTGGTGCTCGGTGTTGTGTTGAGATATGAGAGGTGAGGGGTGATGGGGGAAGAGTGAGGCAGCTAGGGTTATAAGGGTTAGAGAGATATGGGAAGGGCAAGCTAAGGGGCTTGATCTTTGTTTGGATAAGGAGGAGAGAAAAGAAAAGATTAGGGAGGAAAAGAAAAAAAACAGAAATGGTAATTATAATGTTTGGAATAAATAGAAAAGATAAAAAAGGAAAACATAATATTACTGTTTGGATAAAATGGAGAAAAAAAAAATGAAAGAATAATAATGAAATTACGGTATTACCTTTTTGTAGATTTTGATAAATAATATAGGTATGTATGTAAGATTTTTATACCACATTTTCTCATCTCTTCGTAAACAGTCCCATGATACAAGAAACATATTCGCGTGTGGACATAAAAAATTAAAAAATTGAAAAAACCTGCATTGCAAAGCTCTTCAGAGCTTAGAAGGTAACTCAATTAATGAGATACAAGGCTCAGGTAAATAAATTGAGTGCAGCAAGAAGGATGTAATAACTATACCAGCAATATTATATATATAATAAATTGATTATACACACATACTTTGCAATATTATATATATAATACTGAGCATGAACTTGAAATGAAATAAAGAGCAGCAAATCAAGTCCAAAAGGATCACAGAGCATCTAACATGAAATTTTGGGTCTTCGAAAGGAAAATGGAAATAGATAAACAAAAGCAGATTAATTTGTTTGTAGGATTAAAAAAAAAAAAAAAAAAATTACTAATTTCTTCCAAAATTTTCTCATTTTGTGGTGAAAAAAAAAAAATGAAGAAGAAGAAGAAGAAGTTAATACAATACCAAGCAAGAACATCAAAGCATGTTACTGCAAATCCTAAAAAAACCCATCTCCGATTCCAATCTTATCTCTTTTCTTGGCCTTTCAATGGATTAAAATGTTCAGATTTTCTTTAGTAGTAGTAACATGAAGAAGAGACTTAAACAGAAAACGCAAGAGAAGAGGATCGGAGCTTGCAGATGCGAGAGAAGAGGACTTGAGAAGCTGCTGCCCTATTGTATATCGAAATTGGAAGGTTAATTCTGTCTTTGTCATCCTTTCTCCTTAAATCCTCTCAAATCTTCTCAACTTTGAGAGGATTTGTTTTTAGTGTGTTGAAAGGATTTGGAGGGATAGCCTATCCCTCCAAATCCTTCTCAATCATTTCTTTTCTTCTCAATTCTCTCCAACCAAACACACTTAATCCTATCATTCCCTTTTCTTTTCTCTCTAAATCTCTCCAATTCCCTCAATCCAAACGAGGCCTTATTGAGGGATCGATATTTTTTTACAAAAAATTGTCCCTTTGTTGTGTAATGAGAAAGCGAAGGCACAAGTAAAAAGGGATTGATCCACATGGATCGGGGATCAATCCACTTGAGGTATTTTTTTGTTGCTCTCAGCCAAATAACAGGATTGATCTCCCAGTTTTTTTTTTTTTTTTTTTTTATTTTTAATAATTATTTATTATTATTATTATTTTTAAATAAAACTAAAAAGAAAAATATATATACTTAAATGAAATATATATAAAATAATAATAAAATAAAATAAAATACCAACCTACACTAACCATTACAATTTTTATTTATTTTTTATTTTTTGATTTTTTGATTTTTTTTTTTTTTGGGCGATGGTCGCCCAATCCTTGATACTTTTACGCAATTTTTTTTTTTTTTCCCTGGGCGATGGTAGCCTAATGCCAGGCAAATGATCGTCCGACACCTGATACTTTTGCGCAAATTTATTATTATTATTATTTTTATTTTTATTTTTTTTGTAAATTATAACAAAGTATGTATAAGCAAAATAAAAATGCAAGGAAATAAAAATGCAAATGAAAAACAAAAAGAAATAAGGTAGAAATAGAGTTGTGAAACTCTACGAAAAATACTAATATTTAACGTCTCTAGCAAGACGTTGGGGCAACATGCTAATTAAAAGTATTAAAAACGGGATATGAGACATCCTCATTAATCCATTTGTCTATCTTCCCAAGTGGATCCTCTCTCATAACAATAAATTCATCTCCCAAAATAATAACTTGAAAAGAAATGATGTAAGATGCAATTTGTTTCCTTTCATCCATGGTCTTGAAAATGAAATCAATAATGGGTGGCCTTGCACTTGGCAAAGCAATGTCTTTTAAAGACTCAATTGAATTATTAGGAAACACACTCTTTTCATCCATTTTCTCTTCCTCAATGATCACCATCTCTTCACTTTCCAAGTTAGCTATGGAGTTCATTAGAAAGTTCATTTCATATGTGGAGCTTTTGATGTCAAAACCACATCCTTCATATATTTTCAAAAGGCACGCCTCAAGAGGGTCGTTGGAGATAATAAAAGGAAGGTTCTTCTTTACAAGTTCCTCTTTTCCTCTCCTACCTCTATAGTGGTCAACAACTCCTCACTCCCTAAGGTATCAATTTCCTCATGCTCAAGATTACAAGGAATGTCCTCATAATTCAATTTATACTCTATTGGATTAGTCATTAGCTCACTTGCCTCACCCCATTCTATTATCATGTTTTGCTCATTTTGATTAGTCATTAATTGACTTGCCTCTTCTTCCTCTTCCTCTTGACGAGAAAGAGTACTTACAATTTCCTCAACTTGAGCTTCTAGCATCGCTAGCCTATGAGAATGAGAATTAATAAGTTGTCTCATTTTATTAAGTTCATCAATTAGAGCTAACATTTTATTTTCAAATCCGGGAGAGTAAGGTAATAGAGATGGTTCTTCATGAAATATTGGGCGAGGGTAGTAGTCATAAGAGGGATCATAAGAGTGATCATAAGAGTGATCAAGTCCATTACATGATGATGATTCATGAAATGCATTTGACTCACTCTCATAAGGATCATGATATGATGGAGATACATAAGGATAAGGGATAAAAATTTTCCCCAAACTTGGATCAAACAAGGGCTCCATTCACATTCACAATCCAAAAACCATAAAATAATTGCCTCGATAATGGCTCATGCATATAACAATGAAAGTAATGGCCTCGACAAGGACCTATGCTTGGATAAAATATTTAAGCAATATGAAAGCTTCAACAAGGACTATCTCGCAAGCATAGAAAAGTGAAAAATTAGGATAAGAATTGCTCACAAAGGTCCTTAAGCAACTTCAAATTCCAATGATAGCTTTAAGCTCCATTGTTCGCCTTTCTTGTATCAAATATCTAATTGCACATTAGAGAGAGAAAAATAAGAAAATAGTAAGAATATACAAATAATCAAATGAAAACCAATATCTAATTTACCTCCAATTAAACCAATGGTCCTCGGCAAAGGTGCCAAAACTATGATGCGACCGAGCGTGTGTACAAAATAATGCACAAAACTTTAGGTTTAGAATTAATGTAAAGTGGGCATCATATTTTATAATTTATAAACCGCTAGACACTTATACTATGTAGTATGAAGTGAGAAGGGATCGAAACCAAGAGACCTTTGGCTTGGATTTAAATAAGACAAGTGGTTTTAATAAGTGATTACCATAAGAGAGAGAAAATAAAGAGATGGTTGGTTGATTAAGTTAGTGAACAATTAAATTAAAATGCAATGAAAATAAACTAAATTAGAGTTAAGGGTTTAAGAGATAGAAGAGAATTCTTAGGATTTATTGGAATCACCACTAAGCTCATGCAATTAACCACTTCTTTTTCATTAATGGGGAGAACGTTATTGTAACTTAAATGTAGCTTCAATCACTAAACAACTTGCAATCAAGTATGCATGAATTATCAAATGCAAGTATGAATTGTTTACTCAATGACATGTAAACTAGGGTGTAGAACAACTCATCAAGCCTAAGCATACTCCATCAAACTAACCACAATTGCATCTAATGAGAACATACATTAATCAAGAGGATAATGGAATTTGTATATAATAAATGTGGATTATCAATTCAAGCAATGAATTCTCTACCTACTGACAAGTAAACTAATTTGTAGCATAACACATCAAGATAAAGTATAACCCATCAAATTAATCAGCAATCCCATCCAATAAAACCCATGCCATGGCCATCACTAAACCCAAATAACAATGGAATCTAGTGTTGAGTATAATCCTCTAATCACACATAGACATGCAATAACATAGAGAATTAATGAAAGAATTAATTTTTAACATCCGATCAAGAGCATAACCCTAGATTAATTATATATAGACATATAATTAACACATAGAGTTAATGGAAGAATTAAACCAACACAAGCCATGATTTATCAAATCAAGCATGTAAATAGGAATCACAAGGCCATAACATCAACTACAACAATATATTAATCTCCCCAAAAATAGAAATACAAGGGTTTAGAAATACATAAACTTAGGGCTCAACCAAGCCCTAAGTAGAGATCTAGCCCATCATGGCTGTGGTGGTCAAGGTGTCAACAAGATCCTCCTCCATGCTTTGCTCCTTCTTCTTCTTCTTTGAAGCTCTAAAGAGATGAGTGTGTAGATGTTTTTCCCAAACCTTATGCCTCCACTCTTCCCTCTCTTCTAACCCTCGCCTCGTTCTCCAAAGAGAACGTGATATTTTTTTTTCGTAAAATCCAACTTATCATCATAAAATAAAACTCTCTTAATTAAAATAATAACTAATCCTAAACTAATGGTTCACTGGGCCTTAAGTAACAAACCCTGTTAAAACCCATAAGTTATAAAAATAAGCTCAAGAAACAAAATCCCGTAGCTAAGTAAACATCAATCCCGCAATGCTGCCAGGTGCTGGGGGATCGATTCCCCAGCCTTGGGGATCGATCCCTCAAGGGCATTTTTAGTTCTGTGAATAGTGGGGGATCGATCCCCCACTCTCTGGGGGATCAATCCCCCAGAGTTGGAAATTTTCTTTAAGCCTTATTTAGCTCAGTATTGGCCCTGGGCTAATTGATTTGCTTCTTCATCTTTGGGAACATCATCAAAGGCCCGAGATTGACCGCTTTTGAAGAATAAACACACTATACGAGCAATTGGCTACGACATCGTTTTGCCATTTTCTGAACTTTTTCTGAATGTCTTTGCTTGACTCCAAAAAAGCTTTAGTGCACAAAATTAGTCCATTTGAACCTTATTGACCTGAAATTGACAAAAATATAAATTAAAACTTGAACATGAAAATAAGATAGATGCAAGGACTAAAATACCCTAGTTTAGGTACTAAAATGTGCAACATTTAAGCACTTATCATTCTGTATGTAGACTTACGGTAGGTCTACTTCAAATCTGTGCTTAGGTTTTCGGTCTTGTGGGTCCAATCCATTGGCTTGAGAGCACAAACTTGTCAGGCTGTGGGTTCGGGACTGGTGTTGTTGTTGTAGCGTTTTCAGATGTGGGGGTCATTAGGTACGCCAGCGTTAGGGATCTAAGGCCTTAAGCGTAACGGTGCCACTGACATTGTTGTTAGAGTTTTGGGATTAGCTACCCTAATTCTTGTGGATGCGTGGCTTTCGTAGTGCTTTTAGTAATGATCATTTTTGACATTGATGTCATTTGTATCGAAAAGTTTCTTTTTTCTGGCATGTTATGAACTAGTGCTTTATACTGTCAAGCTACCTTACTGACGAGTAAGTGCGGGCAGGTTCTGGTCATTGTTCGTACTGCCATGTCATTCTTAGCCATCTGTCTTGATTCGACTAGTCGTTATCTTGGGATTCTCTCGGTGATTGACATTGGGTTAATATACCGATTCATTGGGAGGTGTCACTCAGTTTTTGGTTTTCGCGTTCCTTCGAATAATCTTTAGGCTTTTGAAGTTGTCCTTTAGCACCTTATAGAGTGTCCTTTGGTTTGATCTTACTTCAATCTTGTTCGATTCTCTTTTATCCGTTACTTCGATCTTGTTTAATTCTC